GCTGGGTGGGTCTTGCCTCTAGCCTCTTTGCAGGGAGTTCAGCTGAAGGGTTCCATGCTGGGCCTGCACTCTGGTTCGAATGAGGATCCGTGGGCCCCGGGTCATCTCACTCACACTCTGGGCCTGCGCTCTGAGTCTATTCAGGATCCCACGGCCCTTGGTCATCTCACTCACTTGCTGGGCCTGCGCTCTGGGTCTGTTCAGGATCTGGCGGCCCCGGGTTGTCTCCTGTCACTAAATTTTGAGTTACTGATGTTTATAGCTGGCAGTTTAAAAATATACTTGATATTCTTGACATTCTTGATGTTGAAAAGACATCTGTTTTAGCCATCTTGCAGAAAAGTATAACCACGAGGTATAAAAAGTAATGCATGTTAATATGTTGAGCTGTAAAAGGCTCAAGTCAAAAACTTCTGACAATTGCCAGTTCTGCTGATAACCCACTACTATTACAGACTATTGAACTATATTGGGTTATTTTGCTGAATTCAAGTACCTACAGTCTACTGGTTTCAAGTATGAAAAGGTCCTTCAAAGTGTTCTCCAAACACAGCTTCTCTAACATCAGTGAACACCCATCTCTAAAAAAAACAAAACGAAAAAGGGGGATATGTTGGGAGCCATGAAGCTAGGAAATCGATCAAATATATGTAGGTGGGACTTGGCCCAGTGCCTAAAGCTAACAAGCTACCTCACACCTGAGATGAACATCCTGTCTGGTTAAGGTTTGCTATCAGTTGCTAAGCAACCTAGTGTCATGTGTTACTAACTTCACAAAAATGTAAATAAAGGACAGTTTTGTTGAGAAAAGAAGGGGGGAGGGAGAAAAAAATATATATGTATACATAAGAGTTAGGATAGATATATGGCTACTTTCTCTTAGTTCACTGAGAGTAAAAGTTTGTACTAATATTGTTTACACAAGATACCATGTCTGCATCTTCTCTGAATAACTACTATGAAGACAATATGGAATGTATTAATTATTCTAAATGTCCTACTAACCTGTTTTGAAACTGTTTCATCACTATTTTATCTTTTTTCTCATTAAAATGAATAAAATTTATTTTTTAAAAACCCATATTTTGATGTAAAACATGCTTATTACAGTACAAATGCTAACATCCATGCTAGATTGTTAGCTTCTTCACGTTATGATGTAGTCATTTATTTAATAAATATTTTAAAGTAAAGAATTATAAATAAATAAATAAAAGACATCTGACAGTTTTGGCCTTAGAAGTTCTGAAGTATCGCTAGATAGGTCTGAGTAATTGAGCTGAGTCAAGACATATGTAAAGAAAATTGATATTCAAATAAGTAGAAAGAGTGGTGAGATAGCTCAGCAGACTAAGCACCTGTTTAGGCAAGCTCAGGGACTGGGGTTCAGTCTCCAGCATCAAATGCCATGCCGGGCCCTGCCTCCACCTCTGCCTCCGGGCACACTGAGCCAGCCATCAAGACCAGGTGTTGGGTTGTGGTGCACAGGAGGATCACTACAAGTCTGAGCCATGTAGTGAGACCCTATACAAATTACAAAAAAAAAAAGAAGAAGAAGAAAGAAATCCAAAACCAATAAATAGATATTTTTTTTTTATTCTCAAGGATGAGGAATTTTACTGCTCTTTTATATCCAGATTATAAAAACGGAAACTCTGGTCTCTTGGTGATCTTTAATGTCCTCATCTTTGGACCTACCAACTGAGTCATATTTTGGTATAATTCTCACAAGCTATTCCCTACCTCATTAGTTACTTTTAATCAAGAGACATTTTTTTTTTTTTTTTAATTTGAGAATCTTCTGAGACTTTGCAAAAAGTCAGAGAAAGAGACTAGGATTTTTGTCCCTAACCTATAGTTATGAGGGGCTAATGTTGTAGTTAAAGGACTCGTATATGTAGTGGGAACAAAATAAACACTTGTTGAATTGAACTGCATATAGACAAAACTTACTTGTTTTCCAAGAGTAAGACCTACTCATTGTTTTTTTCCTTCTTTCCCCTCATCTCCACACTTATTTTCTCATCTCCCCTCTGCTTTTCTAGTAACTGGTATTACATGTGTGTGTGCCACCATGTCCTGTTGCATCTTTGTGTGTGTGTGTGTGTGTGTGTGTGTCTGTCTGTCTGTCTGTCTGGGTGTGTGTGTGTGTGTTTGAAACAAGGTCTCACTATACAGTTCAGGCTAGCTTTGAATTCACTTTGTAGCCCAGGCTGGACTGGAACTTGCAAAGAACTTCCTCCCCCAGCCTCCCCAGTGCTGAGATTTTAGGCATGTGCCACCACACCCAGCTTCAACTTTCTTTTTATAGATGAGAGAATATATACCTAAATACATAATTTGTACTCACGTTCCAAGTGCTGTAGCCTACCTAGCTAAGAAGCACACAGGAAGCCAGTAGGTGGCCTCAGTTGGATGAGCATGCCTCCTTGGGAGGCCATAGTGCCCGAAGACTGAGTTGCCATTGTGCTATTGCAGAGAATTTGTTGTGTGGAGAGAATAAGCATCTAGAGATAAGATGAGCAGATTCACAGTAAAACAAGAGAATTGTCTGCTATACAGAGTGGTTCGTTTAACTTCATACAACTGCAAAATGACAACCATTTCCCCTGTTCTTTCCATATTTCATTATACTTTTGATTTTTCCACCTTCTGTCAGTCTGTTATTATATGATTCTTATTTCATTGAAAAATAAAGCACTTGCAGTAAAAATAATCACTTACTAGACTTTATTACCATGGTACTACTCTGAAGCCTGTTCATGTTCCCTTGTATTGTCAGAGGCATATAAACTAGAGAAAGGAAGTAGAGCCCAGTAAATATCTGTTAAAGCA